ATTTCCACATCTCTCATTTGTAATAAAAATATCTCAAACTAATTCAGCCGTCTATTTTTTTGCCGTCTATCCTTGGCTCTTGGTCGATGCCTAAACTCTCATGATTGAAACCAGTTAAGAATTGCCCAGTAAATGGTGACAATTAGCCCCTACGTAATTTAAAAGTGGTATTTGCGTGCGCCTGACAAGAGTTTTTTTGTACTGAATATTATAACCAGTGCGTAGCGTCATAGCTTTTGTTCGTTAGCTTAGACGGGGGTTTGATGAAAAGGCTTATTCTGTATAGGGTTGCTGGTAAGGGAGTGACATGTATTGACGGACCTATGAGAGCTTGAGGCGTAATCAATACCGCCTAGCGAACCTTGGGGAAGGTCGTCGAAATTAGTGGTAACGGAAACAATGGCTCGGTCATGTACCAAAAGCCGCTGAGGTTCTCGGCATTTACCGTTAAGATACTTGGTACTTTAGATGAAACAAGGACGCCAGCTGTGGGATCTAGCAATTTTTACTTCTTTAGCGTCCACAAAAAAATGAGGCATTCTCGAGGACTTAATTTAAAATAAGGGCGCAACAGCGCTTCCCTTTCGGCCGATTTTTTCCGAAAATTTTCATGACGCCACGGTCGTCTACGTCAGTGCAATCGGAAACAAAGTTGCAGTGGGTGGCAAATAACGCAACAATTTCTTCAACTTCATTCTCGGGTATGGGTCTTTGCTCCATTAGTTTCAGTAGCCGAAGACCGGCAATATTTACCATTCTAACCAGGAAGGAAATAAAATGAAAACCGTACAGGAGTGAGCTGGGCATGAAAACGTCTCTGCCGGACACATAGGGAAGTTGTAAGCAGTTTCCATTTGAAAAGTACGTACACGCCGCCGAAAAGTTATATATTGTCCTTCAAATTTTGCAGTACAAGATCATATGCGCACCGAATTCCGCATTCAAAACACTTACTTCCTCTAACAAAAACCGAAAATGAGTTAACAAGTACTTGAGTTAACTTCAAAAGAGCTTCGTCGGCATTTTTTTGGTTCTCCAATTGTTTATAGGGACTGCTGAACAATCGGTGATTGTGCTAGACTCCTAGTTGATTAAAGCGGCGAGCGTCAAGGATTGTGACCATAGATGTGAAAACATTTTTCAGAGCATAAGTAAAACAACGCAACACAAGTAACTTATTCCGGATCCAGGCGGATGATGTCATTCTTGCTTAAATGGAGAGAAGTTGTACAAGTTGCATTGCGACCAATGTTGTTGAGGATTTTGCCAACGCAGTCTGTAGCTTCTAAAGACTGATGATTTGAAAACAAAAGTTGTGGCCACCACTCGACGCGCTTTGCACAAACTTAAATTTTCATCTGAGAGGAAAAAATGAGCAAGGTTTCAGCACACTATTTAAAATGGAATGTTTTTTTTTCTCTGCATTAAATTTTCCAGGACGTTTTCTGTTGAATTTGTACCAAAGGGAATTTTTTTCTTGAATTGTGACTCCATTGCGCTGCACTTCCCTAAAATTGCAACATGCGTATCCTGAAATTTTTCATGTAGTGATCTGATCGTTTATCCAACATTTATATCCAAGTTGATTGAATATCATCCTCAGATTCGCAAAATGCTGCATCCATTTGCCTCGACAGTGGCATTTCGATCTGAAAACAATCTATTTCATTTTGATTCATCATGAAGTCAATTCGAGTGTTTATTTTGTCAAATTTGGAAAATCTACGATGATTGCGTTTTTGCTATTATATCTTCAAAATTTTGAAGGAAACTACTAAGGTTAGTTGCCTCGACACGATAAAACAACAGTTACCAATGAAGCTGATTTTAAGAAATTTATCTTCATGCAGAAACTTAATTGTGATCACAGGCTTGTAGTCAAAACAACGAAATCAAGCTTCAACTGTAACGTTCAGCGCAAATGTTTAGCCGATGTTTCGTCATTTTGCTTGAACCCAAAGTCAACGTCAGTTGTCCACGTTCTCAAACCAGAGTGCGAGTAACATAAGTGAATGCTCCTTTTTTCTTCAGACTTACGTCAGGAGTTTTGTAATCCTATGATGATTGCCGTTTGACATCTAGATTTCTGTCAGCGATTAGCTCCATGGAAAAGGACATGCTTTTTTTCTTAATTATCCGAATTCTATCAGGCACATGAGGTCTACACATTCCAGTTGTTGAATGAAATGGGAAAAATGGATTAAAAATTAAATGATATGCTTGATGTCAACATTTTTTCAAAACTCGATTTTTTCCACAATTATTATTCGATTCAGTCTTTTTCGGTCATTTAATTTGATCGTGTGACCTCACTGTTTTAGAGATCTTAAGTATTATCCGGGGAAATACTAAATCCATACTAAATGCTGACGATTTTTTCCTAAAAAATGGAAAACAAGCAAACGGAGAAACTGAGACCAGTAAGACCTGAATATGTCTGTTTTTTTTCCATTATAAAAAAATAATTAATTATCTTCAAAAGATCTCTTATCATCATGGGGTGATTTTAAAGCCAACATCTCAAACATGCGAAAATAAACCACTTATTTGCAGAATTTAACCATTGTACAAACTTGAATCGGAATATTTTCTGAAAGAACTAAACGAATCTGTTTATGAAAGGTTATTTGATGTTAAAACAAAAATTATTTAATTTTAAATGCAATGAATTTTTTTACTGTTAAGCGAAAAGTTCAGAAATAACATTGAAGCGTTTTTCATCAGGAAAAACATCAACTAGAAAAACCTTGAAGCACTGGGTAGAAAATGAAAAAAAATTGCATCATCGAAAAAGTACTGGGTTAGGAAAGTTTTCTAAAAGCTTGGTTTACAGAGTCCAAAAGTAGGTTATAATCTCAAAACAATTTTGTTTCTACAATGGTGAATCAGAAAAAAGAGCATTTATCAACACAAGTTACAAGTAGAATTCAACAATGACAGCAGAGATTTTTTTTCGTCCGTGTAATGGTCAATTATGTGCAGGCAAAAACAAAGACATGGTACATAAGAACATAGATAATGATGAGTTTAACTTTCAAATTTTTCAAATTTTGTGGAGAAATTGGCGAGTAAATTTAATACTTCAGTAGAATTAACAGTCAAAAGAAAATTAACTCTGTTTTTAGAAGAAGCAACGGAAATTGAATTATCAAACAATCAAATCCTTAAATACCAAGTTTAGCTTAGATTAGTATGGTTAGGCTCCCAGTTTTGATGAAAAATTATACAATTTGTTTCAAAAGACAACTTGCTGTAGTTGAAATTATCTTCAAAGAATGCATGAATTAGGACCATCAAATCACAGTCGAATTTCTCTTTTACCAATTTAAGGTAACATTTTGAGCGGATCATTTATAACAGAATGAACCAATATCTCACAAAGTATCAATTATTACAAAATTGTCAGTTGGATTCAGTTCTAAAAGGAGTACAATTGGTGGTTTGCTAACCATAATAGAAGAAATGCGTCAAGATTGGAGCTGAGACCACAATGACACAGTCTAAGAGCACGATGACACTGCACGTTCATTTACCTTGAAATAGCTTTTGATACAGTTCACCACATGCTTTTTCTACTGAATTGTGACACATAGGTTTTGGGAACCTGTTTTGGACTTTCTCAAATCCTATTCAAACATCAGCAACAATGCGTTGCCTCTAGAACTAAACGGTCTCTAAATAAAAATGTAAATGGAGTAGCAGAGGTTTTCATATTAGGCCCGCTTCTTTTCATAAATTATTTGAATGATATTGAACTAGATGAAAAAATTGAAAGTAATCTGATTTTACATACAGACGAAATTGTCATTAAAAAAAGCTACAAACAGTGATTGATTCAGTAGACACCAGGAATCGTAGGAAAAACAGCATGTTGCCTAGAATAAATTAGGCTGCCTTAAATGAAGAGAAAATAAAATTAATGATACTATCTAAGAGGAGCAGCGGAAAATATATGAAATCTTTAGTGTAATAACTAACGAAGAGAACCAATCCATCCCTCACTTAGGTGGTTAAATTGACTCTAAGTTTTCCTTCATAGAACATTTTACGAAAGTTGAAAATCATTTGTGAAGTTGTATTTATTACAGGTTGAGACAAATTTTAGGTAGAGATCAACTACTGAAAACATATAACGATTGTTTGAAACCAATTTTACACTGCGGGCCTATGGCTTATGCGTCAACAGACAAAACTAATTTAGAAAGTTTAATTTAAAATCAAATGAGATTTGATATTGTTTGGTTTAAGAGAAGAAATGAGAGCATAGAAGAATTCTATGGATTATTAAAGTTGCTATGTAAGCTTTTGAGAAAAGAATGCAAATCGACCATAGTTCGTGAAGCTGTAACTAAGAAAAATTTGAATGAAATGTTGAATATGAGAGTTTCAGCTAGGTAGATACCTGTGATTTCAAGGTATAGTAAAAAACTTTGCTAAATGTTGGAGTTAGAAAAGTTTGTTTTAAAATACTACCCAGATGTTGTATCCTGGGTTCACGGCTGCACAGAATATCAAATACAACTCTTCAATCTCGAGATTTGGACTTTTTCATCCTATGTTTTTTTTCAACTGGTTAAAAAACTTTGAATAGGAATAAAGTAGCAAAAAATTTGCTGTCACGGATAGGTATATTGCTGAATTTTAATTTATCTTTTTTCGTCTTTCCACTAAATCGTTTTTCTTATTGCTTTATTGATTAACTATCGATGTTAACAATCAATAGAAGTCGTAACAGGATCAGCGTCGCGTCAAAGCGAGCTGCAAAATTCAACGTTGTTCTTGCAACGAGATTTAATTTTGTTGAAAATGTGCTAATTTTTTACTGTGAATTGAATCTATATTGCAAATAATTTATGATATTATATTATTATTCCACGGTTTTAGCTAAAACAGCATGCAAATCTATGTTGAGTACTGAAATGGGGATTAGTTGTTAGTAAAGAAAATGATGCGAGTGGATTGTCTGCACTGTTTTACAGTTTGAAAGAATAATTGAAAATCAGCGATACATTTATTTTCAGATTGTGACAAATGAAGTTGAAGCGGTTTCTGCTGCGTTATTATCCTCCTGGAATAATTCTGGAGTACAATCACAAATCAGACGGCAATGACGACCAGAAAACGAGGACAAAATCAATCGATCTGATCGACCTCACGCCGAACACTGACGTAGACCAGGTTGTGATGGAAATCATCCAGAAGGAACCTCTAATCTCGCCCTCGAGGAGCGACCAGATTCGGAACTTAGTCGAAAGATTGCAAGACAAGTTAGCACAATCGGTTAATCAGGAATATCATTTGTTCAAGGTGCTCCGTGCACACATACTGCCACTGACTAATTTCGCTTTCAATAAATCGGGCAACCGTTTCATCACAGGCAGCTACGATCGTACTTGTAAAGTGTGGGACACAGATTCGGGTGAGGAACTGCATACATTAGAAGGCCATAGAAATGTAGTTTACTCGGTCGCTTTCAACTTGCCTTACGGAGACAAAATTGCGACTGGCTCCTTCGATAAAACGTGTAAGCTGTGGAGTCTAGAAACGGGTAAGTGCTATTACACATACAAAGGTCACACGGCAGAAATTGTTTGTGTCAAGTTTGATCCCTTAAGTCGAGTCATTGCCTCGGGAAGCATGGACACGACTGTAAAACTGTGGGACGTCCAGGACGGGTATGAGATTACTACATTCTCAGGTCATTCAGCCGAAGTCATTGACGTTCAGTTCAATTCTACAGGAGAAAAATTGATATCAGGATCATTTGATAACACCGTCTCTTTGTGGGATATTAAAGGTGACAGGCGTGAACACTATTTCATAGGGCACAGAGGCGAAGTTTCCAGCGTCTGTTTCAATTTCGACGGAAGTTTAGTTGCGAGTGGAAGTATGGATAAAAGTTGCAAACTCTGGGACCCAAGAGTGGGAAAGTGCGTGAATACTCTTCTTGGTCACGAAGACGAAATATTAGACGTTTGTTTCGATAGTACAGGACAGTACCTTGCCACAGCGTCTGCGGATTCGACCGCTAGAGTATACAACGTGAAAACCATGCAAATGATCACAAAGCTTGAAGGTCATGAAGGTGAGATATCAAAGCTGCAATTCAACCCGCAAGGAACCAGAATTTTGACTGCCAGCTCTGACAAAACTTGTCGGCTCTGGGATCCGTTTTCGGGAAAGTGTGAGAAGGTTCTAGAAGGACACACTGACGAAATTTTCAGCTGCGCCTTCAATTACGAAGGAAATATAATAATTACTGGAAGTAAGGATAATACCTGCCGCATATGGAAGTGAATGTATGTTCATCAAAGTCTGAAATCAGCTTGAATTTGGTACTATAAATTATGTAATCATCGCTCTTGATAAATTTCACACTCAAAGTTGAAAGGTAGTTTCAATTCAGTTTTAGTTATAATTTGCTGACCTTTACTAAATAACTTGCCGCTTTTATGTACTTATGTATCATTTTGTAAATAATTATAAAGCTCCGAATTGTTTATTGCATAATACATCTTTTGATTCTTCGATTTTGAAGATCTTCCTAAAAGGAATTTTGATAAGTGCTTCTAAGTCTTAAAACTGTATGTGGTGTCTTTTAAGAGATTTATCGAATGGTTGATCAAATAAGGAACAACATGATTATTCTGAGTAAGAAGTATGCTCGCCTGGACCACGAAAATTTCAACCAAGTGTACCAGGAACATTTCAATGAGTGTGTTCCGTACCAACAAGCCGGATTCAGATCGCTTCTTGATATGTTCAACAGGTGATATATTAGCATAAATGACACTTTTTTCAAATTTACGAGAGAAATATTGGATTTTTTTGATCGTTTTGATATAATAACTATAGAATACTTGAGATGTTCAGCTTTTCAGTAAACGGAAAAACTTGATTGATATGATTTGGATATTAGCGTAACTATTTAGTAGTGATTTTGTGAGCGCTACGATCAAAATTCTTATATATCAGTGTGCACTAGAGGACAAGTAGCCAAGGGTGCGTTCGGGTACTACAAGGATACCAATGGCGAGCCATATAACTTCGTGCTGACTAGTATCCAATACTCTGAAGAAGATGCTCAGTCTCCTATTTTGCTGCAAAGCTCCTCGCTTCTCGAACAGCAGCGACACGAAGGTGCTGGCGTTCCTCATCTACCTGGATCAGAACTGAAACTGATGAGTATTCATGGTGTCACTTACCTGCCACAACAGTATTCAATCTATATTGTAAGTAATTTAAAGGCAATTTTGTGTTTCTGAAGTTGAATGTTCATTTTAAAATCACTTTTGGAAAAAGAAGTTGATAAAATTTGATAAAGCCTGAACTTTAAATGCGTTAACTTAAAAAGATTTCGAGTCATGAATTGATTATAAAAAAGTTATATCGAAATGACTGTCACTGTTAGCGCAAGATTATTTAAGAAAGATAATGTGTGCAATTAAAACGAAATTCTAAAGACGATGTGTATTATAGAGAGCTGTGAGAGATTTTTTTGCACAAATTTGTCATTTGTGTTATAGGATTAGTCCGCTTTTGTTAATCGAAGTCGAATTTTTCTTTCTTTATATAGAAATCGTTAAAATTTTCTCGTTTTCAGGAAGAGCACAAGCGACTCACCAAAAACAATCTTCGACAACGCGTCCTAGTTTGCGCCAAATACAACAGGATACCATACATGCCACAGTCAAACCATTTAGTTAATGTAACAACTGCTAATGACGTCACTAGCTTCAGTGCTCGATTAAAGGGAGATTTCTACTCTAGTTGGTTCCTGGAATTACAAGATCATTTGAAAACCTTCTATTACACGACAAAGAATAAGCAGAAGTATTCAATTTATAATTATCCTGGTAAGATTTTCTAGCCTTAATAGATCCAAAAGAGAAACCCTAGATAATCGGCTGTTTATTTTAAATGCAGTAACTGAATTTCGACCTTATGCTGAAAAAATTCCAAATTTTCTGACTGAAAACTGTTCGAAATTTCATGACCGAGTTCGAGGTTTGATTTTGACTTCCTTCTTTTGCAATGATAAACATGCAAATGATACAAAACAACGGGAATAGGTTTGTTTCGAAAGTAGTTTTTACTTTTTAGAACCTCAGCCCCTTGTTTGCAATATCCGCAAACCTCGAGGAAACGTTCAGCTTCAAGATTGACAAGTCATTGCTTTCAGCCTCCTTATTCCACAGGGAGTTTAGGTTCGCGGTTTGATTAAACAAAAGGTTTGTTTAGGTTTGCGGTTCGTGCTGGCGGCGTCCTATACCGTAGCGGACATGGTTTGTCGCATTGAACGCTGGGTTTCTTCCCTGCTGCTTTTTCGCTGTTGCTCTTCTTCGCCTTCTGGAGTTTCTATCGGACGTTTCGGTGGGCTTCCAGTGGGAGTCAGTGGTTTGTGGATATATCGGTGTTCACTTCTCTTGGCTTGAAGATTTCGTAATAAGCTTTGCTTCCTGTCTCTTGGGCGCTCCGATTTTCTGGGTGCGAGTATATTCTAATTGGTCTCAGCTCTCCTTCTTCGAATTCGTGCTTCCTTTGGCCCCGCAGGCAACCTTCTTCCTTTGAACCGATAATTTGCGACGTCGGGTGTGTCGCGCGTCATGAAATTTCACGGTTTCTGTGTTGGAGCGGAGCGGTGCCCTGTTTCATTCCTTGGAGTTTATTGCAGCTTCGAATTTCCCTGACATCCTGAGGTGTTTCAGGCTTTGGATCGTTTTCCTTCATGAGTTCTCCAGCTTTCCTGTACATTTTTAGTGGCCTTCGATGCTATACAAGAACCTAAATCTACGGCCCATTCAGCTTTGCGATAGACTTTACCGAATGGCGCATAATCGTTTGGTCAGTTTTTCTGGCCACTTTATTGTTTGGCTTGCCGAAGTAAGGTAGTAGTAGTAAAGGATTTTGAGTACCTCGAGGGTTCCCACCATCATGTCAGTCCATTTTTTGTCGTATCTTGCTCAATTTGTTGCGGCTTTATATCTGCAAAGTATTCTCCATGTGCATTTTCCTGTCTCGGTGAAGCAGTTTTCGAAAAACCGTGGTATGTATACCAGTGAGTGTTTTTTGTTGGTGTGCTGTTTTCGTCTCCATGAACTCTGATTTTGTACTTGTTAAGTGTTTTTGTTATTCTGAAGGAGTTTTGTTTTTGTCAAATCTACTTATTCTGTACTCGCGCCGCTTCATATGTATGATATATTCGTCTTTTCGAAACGTGACCAAGTCCAATTTGATGTCATATTTATTGCTGACAAGACCTAAAAAGAAGTATTGTCTAGTTAAATAATCCAATGTAAAGGCCTAGAGGGAGAATGCCGAGGGCTCCTAATCTTTCTTTTTATTCCAATCTTGAAAACAAAAACCACTTGGTTTTAAGTTTCTGCAAGCTTAAGCATGCTTGCTCTGCTCGGATACCATGTTTGAGACGCACAGTCAGAGACGTGACGAGGACTACGTATCCCGTGTGTGGATGTAACCCTGTGTTCTAGTGACCGCTTCGTGTTAAGTTTCTTTTAATTTGATAAGGCGTTTAGGGTCTTTTTACTCGGAAACTACAGTTTTCAGTCCGTGTCAAATTGCTCGATACTAAGGAGTCCGAGATCGGTTTGGGTCCTTACACCTATCAAAGCATAGTTGCTTCCAGGTTTCCTTTGATAATAGAACATTTGATTCTTAGCGATTTCTCGATACTTTTCGTGGCAATGTTATTGAATGGATTGAATTAAAAGGTATCAGTAAGCAGATACATGAGCACGTTTAGAGCAAGTGCAAAGATACAAAATAATGATTCAAATGCGATATATCGTAGGTATCAAAAATTGATATAGCGCGTATATGTAAGTGTTTAAATATCACCAGTAGCTATCAAATGCAGGATTTCAGTCATTGTCTTTGATAAATTGTCTGCGATAAAAGGACAGGTCCAGTAGAGGTGCTGAGGAGATTCTATATGGTGTCCACAGAATTTACAAACGCAAAATGTCTCCGTAGAGTTTTCGTAGCAGTTTCCACTTGTACAAATTTTGTGATGGAGGCCATTCGTGTAAAACAAAGCGATAGAGCTTCTTCTTGGCTGTTTTGATTTCTGTATTTCCAGAAAGTCGTCTTCGTACAGATGATGGATAAGTTTGGAGTTTGAAGTGAATTTTGAGATCCCAGCCCACCTTTTCCAAAAATAGGCAATAACTTTCACTGAAAAATCAGTTGAACTGGATGTTGTCGTCAATCCATACGAACATGAAGGTAAAACAACAGCATTCAGCAGTCGCCACGCCGATTAAAATGATATTTTATGAAAATTTACCTTTGCTGCAAGAATATTGACAGAATGAATACCCTTTCTGTGTAGTTCTGAGTTATGCATTTTGTCTTTCATGAATGCTGATATTGTCACACCTAAGTATTCAAACCTTTTCCAAAAATAGGCAATAACTTTCACTAAAAAATCAGTTGAACTGGATGTTGTCGACAATCCGTACGAACATGAAGGTAAAACATTAGCATTCAGCAGTCGCCACGCCGACAAAAATGATATTTTTACTGAAAATTTACCTTTGCGGCAAGAATATTGACAGAAGTAATACCCTTTCTATGTAGTTTTGAGTTATGTATTTTGTCTTTCATGAATGCTGATTTTGTCACACCTAAGTATTCAAACGAATTGACGTATTCCAGAGGTTGACCCTTGTATAAAACAATGTCCTTTCTGCCAGTATGACTACCTTTTCTTATTTTCATCATTTTAGTTTTGGAAATATTCACAGTAAGGTTGTTTTTCCGGCAATAAATCTTTAACCTTTTGAGCGCTTCAGTCATTTGTTGAGTACTGTTTGTCACGATCGCTAAATCATCTGCATAAAAATAACAACTACCAAAAATAGATAGTATAAGAGCGAGATCTGCTGTAAAAAGAATAAATAGAAGGGGAGAAAGTGGATCACCCTGAAGTAAGCCCCTGTTTTGGTTTATACGGTCAGAGACAAAATCGCAGATACAAATCCTGAGATAATTGATGCGAAGATTAACGCTCAAAATGTTGTGAAATTTTGTGCTTAAGCCGTTGTTTTTGAATTTTTCTAGTAATTGGTTCCTAACTACTGTGTCAAACGCCTTGCTGAAATCAACATAGCAAACATAAGTTTGCTTATTTGTCTTGAACCTTGCTGCCACCTCCGTTTTGAGTGCTTGGACTGCTGCATTAATGTTCGAGCGGTTTCTGACAAACCCGATCTGGTTTTGGGGTATCTTCTTGTTTTCAACGCTCCACTTATATAATCTGGCTTGTAAAACTGATGTGAAAACTTTTTAAATACTGTTGCCGAGTGCAAGTCCTCTGTAATTGTCTGGATTTTTCTCGTCCCCTTTTTTCAAAGAGGTTTTAATAATGAAATTCTCCAACTTTTCGGGATATTTTCTTGAGATAAAATACTATTGAACAGTTGAAGCAGTAGTGGCAAAAAAACAGAGGTTGGATTTGACGCAGATACCATCTGGCCCTGGAGCTTTGTTTGGTTTGGTTTTATCAACAACCTGAATCAGTTCTTCGGTTAATTCAGCGTCAAGTTTATCATCAGTCGAAATGTGTTCCGTTAATTCTATCAATTTGTCACTTTTTGAGTTTTTCACGTTCAATAGATTTTGAAAGTGGTTTTTCCAATCGTCGTTCTGTACATTTGACGTGATAACTTCTGTGCGTTTTGAGTTCAAAATATTCCAGAATTGTGATCTGTCTGTCTCAGCAGTCTCAATAATTGAATTTTCTCTGTGAAGATTGTAGAGACGACTTTTGCTTCTACACATCTTTTTGAATAATTGTTTTTCAGTCGAACTAATTTGATTGCAGCCGGTTCTGAGGGCAGACTTCAGTTTGCGATTTTGTTGATAGCAATCTTTGTCGATTGCTTTCGAACTGTGTCAGCTTTGAAGTAAACTGCGAGCAGTACGCAGACAGAGAGTTCAATTGCTAGCACATTAGCAATTTCTCTTAAAAATCGATGTTTTTCGTTGACTCTTTTGTTGATTCCAATCAGTAGTCCACCAGTCGGTCTGCCTCTTATCAGTTTTTCGCTTTCAGGCAATTAGTAAAATGGGAGTCCAGGTGAATATCTGCTGTCGCAAATGTTTCGGTGAGTAAAATAAAATCGGTATTGTACATATAACTGTCTAGAAAATGGATGTTGTTTTTTGCTCCTTCAATGTTCCAAAGTAGCAAACTTGACTGCACATTTAGTCAATTCTGTCTGGAATTTTCTTTTTCAATATCTTTACCAGAGCGTATGATAAACTCTGTGCCTGGGTTGTCATGTCTGCTTTCTCGGAGTGTTTTTCGTAGTTTGCATTCCTCTTCTTGTTGTAGTTTTGTCAAGTCCGGTTTCAAATACACATTTTCATAGATCTCAATTTGTCGTAATTTTTTCGCGTTTTTCAAGATCAGTTGTTTGACTTCAGCCGAAACCAGTTCGATCTTCAATAATTGAGCTCCTTTCTCGTTTTTCTTCCCAATTCTCTTTGTTCGTATATTTTCTACTGTCGGAATTTCCAAGTCCTCTAGTAGTTTCTTCGCAAATAGAACATCGTTTTCGTCGGTATCTGGTGTTGTTACCAAAACTACCACGTTTTTTGCTCGATACTGTTGTTGTGTGTTTTCAGTCTGTACTTTTTTGACTATCTCTGCATAAGACTTTGTTTCAACAGCTGTTATTGGACTGTTTTCATTTTTGAGTTGATCCATCAATTGATTTGTAATTCTCGCAGTACAAAATCCGCAACAGAACGGTTCTTTCAGTAGCTTTTGTTTACGTCCTAGCTTCTTCGGTATAAGAATAGTTGTCCATACGGAGTAGTCTTCAGACGTTCACTGTACTTCCAGCTCGACATAATCTTCTTTGGAATCTTCAAGTTCTTCATCGCACGGCAGGTTGACAGGTTGTTGTTTCCGTGTTGATATTGGCATTGTTAGATGTTCATCTCAAACTATTTAATAGGTTTATCACAACAAATAAGCGTGTCAATGTCAAGACTGGTCTGATTAAGTATTATTGCTTTGGAGTCGTCCGCATAAGCGTAGCTATCTGTTTGAGGTAATCTGTCTTACAGATCATTTATGAATAATAATAAGAATCATAGCGGCCTAAGTGAAGAGCCTTGAGAGTCTGCTGGTTATAACCCTCGAACTCGATTTACTGTTTCGAATTTTCACAAATTGCTGTCTATCAGGTAAGTAAGAAATATTAAGCTGCAATAAGTTTCCTACAATTTCAGAAGACTCAACGTGTAAGGATGTCATGGGGGACTTTATTGAAGCCCTTCGCTAATCAAGATACATAATTTACTAATTTTTTTGTCGTTCACTTCTTTTTTTTTTCATCCAAAAGGAGAAGTAACTGTAAAGTTGCTGGTCTTTTTTTCCGAAAGCCATCTTGATTTTCATGTAATTTCCCTTTGACAAGATTAATTGTTCCATCAAACAAGTTTTTCAAAGATTTTCGAGCAGCAAAGCATGCTTATCGGACGATAACAGCTTACATTCGCTCTGTAACCTTCTTTAAATATGGGTTTAACTTGAATTACCTTTCACAAGTTTTCTTAGTTTAGACAAGTTTGGAAGCAATTTGCACAGCGTTTTGTGACATTTTTCATGATCAATTTACTGATTTCGAGTGTTTCCATGATTGCGCTTGAATAACTTTCCTGGACTTCGATTTTGAGTAATATTGGAAAGTTTGGTTCTAAAGCCGGCATTTTCAGATTTTAGATTCTGACGAAGTAATTATTACACGCTGACGAAGTAATTGTTAAAAATTTTGCATTTTTTGTGCTTTCATTCATTTTTTTTTGCCAAGTATTTGACAATCGGTGGAAATTTGGCTGTTTTTCGGATGCTTTTCGATTATTTATGTATCTTCTGCGTTTGAGGATCTGCTCCTCGAGCTCAATTAAGTCTTTCTCCAATTTATTCCGTATATTAAATAACTGTGGTGAATTTTCAAATTTTCAGCAAACAAACCACCGATTACAAGTTAACGATATATCAAAGTGTCGAAAATCCTCAGAAAAATAGGAATATTTTTTCAATCGGGAAGAAAATTGAACAAGACTGCTGTATATCAGAGCAAAGTCTTAAATATTTCGACTGCACTTAGGGCCAATTGAAAAGTTTTTTTTGTTGAATAATTGACAAAACAATTGAAAAAAAAGATGTTTTTTTAAATTGTTTCTTCATTTTACCCCCCTCACGCTATACGAGTGTTTTTAGCGTCTCGTTTTGTCATAATAGAATAACATTGCTGGCCTCAATTCAATGTGGAACGCATCAATTCGCTTTTCGCTTCTTCCGCGTGTTATAATTACGCAACATATCGCACTTAATTATCCCATATTGGACAAATTAGCAATTTTCAAACGCCTGTAACTTTACGAAACATGATCACAGGTGAAATATCTTTCTAAATTTGAGCTAAAGATAACAAAATCTCTCCGACGTTAACTAAGCGTTTTTGATTGATTTGTTTTATACCAAGTCGACAATTGACTGAACAAAATAAAACAACACCAAGCATAAACATTACTCACTTTCTTCAAAAGACAGAACAACAAGATTGCTCGTATCAGGGCAAGACCCGGAATGTTTCGACTGCCTTTCAAGTTCCACGGAGCAGTTGTAATATGAAAAAGTTAAATGTAATAAAATAAAACGAGATTTTTTAATTTGAGATTTTTTTGAAAATCATCACCACTCACGCCATATGAAGTACAAACTGATAGATTTTGCTTCTAGTAACAAATTAATGATGGCTAATAAGCTTACTTCGACCAATTTGAAACGATTTTAAGACGGCTTAAAACTATATTACGGGTTAATAGCGCGAAATATATCGCGCATAAATTCTCCCAAATTGGCCAAAATGGCTATCTTTAAATTCACATAACTCCACGAAGAATGATCACAAGTGAGATATTTTTCCAAATTGAAACTGAGGACAACAATACCTTTTGAATGATTTTTTAAAAATTCCATCAAATTGCTAGTTGAAAAGTCGAAATTTGTCTCAGAAAAATAACCACCCGGAAGACAAATGTTCCGTTACTTTCGTTACGAAAGTCGGAACAAAAATGATTGTGCTTGTAGAATTACGAACTTCTTTTTCAGACAATTTTGTTTTAGAGGTTTCATTTTTTGAGTCTCGTATTTGCTGTTTGTCTTATTGAGTCTCACTACAAGTTTAATTTATTGAGTCAATGTCAAAACTCAAACTTGAAGTGAGGCTCAATAAGCCAGGCTTTTCACATTTTGACCTTTGGGTTCTTTTTTTGGTAAATATACAAAACGATTTCAATGACCGGTTGACTTGAATGGCGTGATTGACTTTTAATTTATGTTTCTCGAATAACTAGAGTGAAAAGTGTGTTCATGAGATATAATGTTTTCAGTGAAAAAATTGATAATTTCAATGTAAAAATATTTCAAGTTAATAAAACTATAGCGCTTGGAAGAAAGTTTTGATACCTTCATAGAGTGTAGCTGTGATCATTTTTTTGGTCCATATAAAATTTTTGCTTCATTTTGAAGTAAATGTCGTTGAAGTGAAAATCATCGTTGAAAATAGGAATGTATTTGAGAGGAAAAATCTGCGCTGAATTTTCTTCCCTATTGGATATATGTACTTCTCAAGTTTAAGTTCAAATTTATCTGTTGATATGGAGGTAAGTTATGCATTCTGCCTACAAAAGTCGAAATGGGCCGGAAGATTCGACCCCATGCTTACCCAAAGGAACCCCCATTGGTACTTTTTAAGAAAAGCATTTTTGGCCGACCGACCCTAAAATTTGTCCAAAGGCGCCTTCGGCGCCAATATATACTTACTTTGAGGATGAGCGCGCGCCTAAAAAACGCGATTTCCGCCCCTGCCGCTTACTATTGTTTTTGCAAATGTTTTAAAATTTTCAGTTTTTTTTTTTACTTTTGAGCTGTAGCTGTCTTAGGCTATTTTAATTAAAGCAGGTTTTGTTATCTTATAAATACCGTTTATTTGTTTTTTTTTTCAATTGTCTTTTGGATACATTGAAGTGCAAAAGAACGAAGTGATAAGCACTGATATAGATCTCGATGATTTTTAATTTTTTTTTCCAGAAAAAATGATAATATTTGTTCACGGTCAAATTTGATTTTTCTGGTTTGACTTTTGATTTATTTTTAAAAATTCGTTTCCTTTTTTAAAATGAAGGCAAACTCAACTATCAAACAGCAAAAGTCACGAAAAAGGTTAATGACTTATAGTTGGAGTATTGCTATTGGAAAATTGGAGAAAAAAAATTACATGTAGATCCATTTTTCTCTAAATGGTAAAATTACGAAATAATTGACAGTCTTAAACAGTAACTGAAATTCAAAGAGCTTCAACGTGATGTTTTTTTATTGGAAAGAAAAATTTTCAAAAATGCAAAATCTTTTTTTTTCGGTTTCCTTGTTTTATACTTTTCCAACTGTCTGTTGGCTATGTTTGTGAAATTTAAATTAAATTAATATGATGTTATTAACACAGCTGTAAATTGATATGATCTTACAGGGTTTCTGAAGCAGGGCCAGGCTTGTGTCGTAACTCTTAATGGCAATATATACTGCCGTGCAGCGATTCTCAAAATGGAGAATTACGAGGAATCTTCAGAGATACAATGCGTGCTCGTTGACTTCGGAGTTGTTCACTCGATCTCCAAAGCAAGAATATTTATTATCGACCAAGTATTCATGCAACCTCCTATGCAGGTATGTATGAATAATGTGAAAAGCACAAGGCTGTTCGGGAAAACAATTTCTTTCTGAAATGAATGAATGTCCTTGTTGTATTTCCGGGTGAATCATGAATGTTGCTGGTTCTACTTAATAATCTCCACCCCTTTCAAGAAAGGGGGAAGATTGTTAAGTAGATCAAAATGGTCGACCAATCAGAATGCATCAAAATTAGAATTCTCAATAGAAAGCTCAGTGATAATTTACTGTATTTATTTATAGGGGTGTATATTCTTAAGTAGGTACCATAGGTGGGGGTGGGAGGGAGGGGGAGGGGGTGGGGAAGGTTGAGGGGGGAGGGGGAGGGGGAGGGATTTTTAGGTAGATCCATGTTGCTTTTGTCAGACGCGCGTTTTATATTGACTACGGTCATTTGCGCAATGAGGTTTGTCGAAATTTTATGCTATGTTTCGATGTTTTAGGCAATAGAAATGCGACTTTATGGGCTTTCACCTCCATCTGGGCATCGCCAATTTTGCCCTGAAGCTGTAAAGCTCATAATGAGTAACATATCTGCGAAAAGTGTGGATGATCAGTACAGTACTGAGTGCCAAATCGTCCGATTTTCACCACAATCTTTAGCAGTGGACTTGCGGCACAAAGGAAGCCCACTCACTGTGGCGGAATCGCTTCTAAAGGCCCAATTTGCAGTCAAGAATGAAGTCAATGAGCAGCAGTCGCCTAATGTGCAATCTCTGCAGTTTTTCCCGCCTTGCAAGGTGTACGCAGACATGATGGTATGTCGCACCAAAATTAATATCTTCATATTTTCCCTGTTCGAGTATTCGGTCTTCAATCCTCTCCCCCCCCCCCCCCCCAAATAGACCAAGTTAACATCCTCCACCCCCAAAGCTCAATTGAAATTCAATTTGCTAAGCGCTGCATGTGAAATGCTCGATTCTGATTGGCTGAAAATTCCCAACTTAGAACCAAGTTAACATCCTCCCCCCGAAAATGTTGGGGGGGGGGGGGGGGAGGAGGATGTTATTTTGGTCCTTTATATTTTTGGGATTTTGGTCCTTTATATTTTTGGGTCTTATGTTTTATACGGCCCAAATTCCTTATTTATAGATCGAGCTAACATTTGTGCGGTCAAAGGCCAGGCATTTCAATCAACATTTCCAGCAGATAAAAATATTAGCCGAAATCACTGAACAGAACTTCATCTTAAAATCAAATTAATTTCAAGCCACTTGTGAAACTTTTTCCAGGCGAGATAAGTTCAGAAAAAGGACTTCACTAGAACAAGTTCAACATTTTTGGTCGCTTCGGTCGCAAATCACATTACTTGGAGTCTAAGACAGAAATACTGGCTTCAGGCCTGAAGCAGGAATCGATGGTTTTTGGATTAAGTTCATTTCAATGCACAGAACTGGCTAGGGCATGGAGCGGTTATTCAGTTGGACTAAAAAAGGTTAACGGTCCATGTCATAGAAATGGCTGTTTTATTTCAGTTTTGTTTTGCAGTCAGTTAGTGGCTAACTGCTTTCAAAAGTCATTTGGGATTTTGACGTGTTAGTTAGAGGCGGGTTCAAGTTTATTAAAAATCATTCTTAACACTTCGAACAGTTTTTACATTTTTTCTAAGCCAAGTTATTTGCGAAAGAAGCGCAAAATTTGAGTTTTGTGTGGTATTTTATCTGGCAGAGTATTGTATTTACAAAAACTATCTTGGAAGACTACAATTGACATTCTACATACTATTGCACAAATCTGCCATAGTTAACCAATAGTTTTTAATATCATGATTTCCGAGGTTAGAGAGTTTTTTAGCGCTTGCACTCTTTCCTTGAAAAGTTGCCATTTTCGGTTTTGTTTAGGCGCTGGACGTCCGATACGAATAAGTTCCAGCTGATTGTCGACATTTTTTTTTGTTGTTTCAAAAGTCGGTTTGCCTACCACAAACTTGGCGAATTTCGTTGAATTTTTCGAATCCATACGCTGTTCCAGCCTTCGCAAAAATTTGTAGTCCTTAGTCGTGCTGGCCTATTCATAACATTCCACATTTTTGGGGAAAAAGTCAAAATCCAGGTTTTGTGAAAATATTGAAATAATTTGGTCATTACTGGGTACTGCGAAATTACATGGGCAAAGCTGGATAAACATGGGCAATATCTGCTCTTCTGGCAAATATGCCGAAGCCATAAGCATTCTTACCATCTTTTTCAGCCCAGGGTCTTTAGAATAAGAGCGTTTTGAGCCAAGTTCAGTCAAATGCCGAAATATTGATTGAGTAAAATGGAAAAGCATCCCAGATGCTCGGTTTCATCAAAATCTGATTCCAATGCTGATATTACCCCCCTTTCATAGTCAGTCACGATTTGCTGGGACACCCATTTGTGTCCAGTGAGACGATGAATTTTTTTGGAAATAATTTTGGCACTGGCAAGCCGGTTTTCCGCTAAGGAAACCAAAAACTGGTGGAAGACAACGTTCTTCATACAGACCGTGTAGCACATACAATTGGTCAAACGGTGAAGGGCACGCCTTGAAAGTTCCATCTGCAAATATTGCCTCTGAATTGAACAATAATGTCAAGTTTTTGTCGATTGCGAAGATCGTTACACCGCAATCCACGTCGTTAGCGAGTAAGAACCGCTCTTTTTTAAGAGTTAGGCGCCATTTTCCGGTTATAGAAACTTCTGGCATTTTGGTTGGTGTTCGAGGCACTTTTTTTTGACCGAGCTCGATAAAGACTGGATTTCATCGATCTGTAGTCCGATTTTTGAACAGACGTACTCTGCTCGAGAGCTTTGCCGTATATATTTCTTACGAGATTTGTCGGATCGCGTTTGGTATCTCTTAATTTTGCCGAAATTTTTCCATAGATATATAGGCTTTTTCATCGTTGTGATTGTGTTCTCCATGATACTTTTTGATCTCTTTGAATTTTGTTGATGTAATCATACGAACCATACAATTTGAGGATTTGTAAGACAAGCATTTCAAGTAAACGGCTTTCGAAGTTACAACTGATATTATATCGATAATTTCTAATTATTTTTATTTTACCTCTTTTTGAAGATATTAACTGAACTTGGTTTTCCATTTGATATTATGATGTAAATAACCTATATTAATTACATTTGGTAACAATATAAGTTTGAATTTTTTGGTTTATAGTGTAAGCTGTACGTTTAGTTTATTACATTCTTAATTATTACTACAAAAAAATACGTTCCCAATCGGGAGTCGATCCGCAGACCTACCGCCTTTTGAGCGTATATGCTACCTCCCAACTAACGATCCATGTTCACTGTATTCACTGTATTCGACCCTTCGCATATTAGTGATCCCACTGAGTTTTAGTCGACAAGTTGTGCGACTGACGATTTAGTTTGGAAGTTGTGCGACCGATTTATTATTTTGGAAGCAATGAACGTAAGAACCTATGGGAATTCACCATATTATGCATCAGAGTTCTCAATAATGTACGCACTATTTTATAATATCTGAAATTGCCAATTGTAATTAATCTAAAAAATCCAACCGCCGAAAAGACGCAGAGTAGTATATGCCGGACATCAAGCAGACGGGACTTGAAGCCAAATTGTAAATTTAGGGGCTTCAAGCCGAACATTTTCTCGTTAAGTAAAAAAAAACATGATTAATTTGAAAACTTTTTTGAAGAATTTCTCAATTTTATGATCTTTCTCCAGTAGTTATTGGCGTTTTCAAAAAATTTTAGCCTCAGAATGATGTTAAGGAAAGTTGAGAAATAAAACATGGCTGTAGACAATTTTCTCATTTATAAGCTATGCTTTTCAAAAACCGGCTGATATTATTAAAGGATACCAATCCCAAGTGATTCATTGTCCTGAATAAAGCTTATTATGGACTAAAGTTGCCCACATTTTTGTATTCGTTTTTATATTCGGCCAATGTTAATATTAAGTCCATGGAAATGTTAACTTTCTTTGGCATTTTCTGGCGATACTGAATCTGATTGGCTGATTTTTATTTCGACCCTTCGCCTATTAGTGATCCCACTGAGTTTTAGTCGACAAGTTTGATAAACTATACTGCCATGGGTGTCCCGTGTCCGGCAATTAAGACGACGGGACCAGCCTATTAGCTTGTGTGTCGATTAGCATGCTCATGTTAAAGAACGTTGTTTGAAGATTCACGTTTCGCTCACTCAAACTCTCTACCCGAGTTTTTATTTAGGCGAAGTTGCAATTTTACCACCGCTAACGAATC